ATAATATAATATAATATAATATAATATAATATAATATAATATAATATAATAAAATAAAATAAAATAAAATAAAATAAAAAATAATAATATAAAATTAGATAAAATTAAAATAAATTAAATTAAACTAAATTAAATTAAGTTAAAATAAATTAAATTAAATTAAATTAAATTAAATTAAATTAAATAAAACAAAATTAAATTAATTAAAATGAAATAAAACAAAATGAAATTAAATTAAATGAAATAAAATAACTAAATATTAAAATAATAATTGCTATGAACAACTTGAAATAAATTTTAGCTGCATTGGAAAAAGGCAAATATCGAGTGGAAAATACTTGAAAGGCAAGTGGTTTTAAAGAAGTTTCAAGCTTAGGAAAAAATTAAAAGTTTGAGTATAGTTTTTACTCACTTGTTTGTAATTAAAAAAGTTAGTAAGCCATAAATTATATGTGAAATTATTTTCAATAATGAAGCTACAGCACAACGACAATTTAACATGGATTTACTTTGAAAGCACCAAAAACACTGAATTATTATTTTTTTATTTTTCATTTTAATAATATTTATGTCCCTTCGGATTTCTAAAATATTTAATTCACAATTACTCCCATTATCGCCTTTTATAAGATCATATCCCCATATGTGTAGGAGAGTGATGCAAGGAATCTCTTAACTTGCTAGCCTAGGTGTACTTTCCTTGCTGCCTACCACTGGGCACAGCTCGAACCATCCATAGGTAGGTTGGGAGGACCAGCTTTTCGATGCAGGGTTAAATCTGACTGTGGTTTAAACTTAGTTTAAGCGCTCGAGCTAGCTAGTTTAGATTAGATTAGACAATCAAATATCAGCCAGCTGTTAAATTAGATCTTAGTTTACGATATCTAATTTTAAACATGCACTGCAAGATTGATCTTTTAAATACCCTGGGCAGATAAAATCTTCAACNCGCTCGAGCTAGCTAGTTTAGATTAGATTAGACAATCAAATATCAGCCAGTTGTTAAATTAGATCTTAGTTTACGATATCTAATTTTAAACATGCACTGCAAGATTGATCTTTTAAATACCCTGGGCAGATAAAATCTTCAACAAACTCTTATGGCTTGCTGCGTAGGCATCACTAGTGCCGTGATGAAAACCACCCCTTGGCTCTCGAGACGCTTTACTGCTTAGAGCAGGACTCATCTGACGGGATAATGCAGAGGATAAGAAACGAGTACATTCATCCCCTCTAAGAATTTTAGAACAAAAGGAAGGTCTATGTTCTCCGAGGTTTCACTTTAAACACAATAACATGGTATTTTCCCCCAATAAAACCGGCTGGGATAATTAACCACCGAAACCTCTGAAAAATAGCTACATATACTATGGTGGCGGAGAAGTGGTATCCAGGGTATAAAAACTAGAGGGTGACGCTCCTCCATTGGAAGCACACGAAATGACCTCAAAACCTCAAAGCTGGTGTGGAATTTCTTCAGATGTTCTCGCCAAGTAAGGTGCTGCATAAGGATTCATACATAAGCCCAGGACTTCTCATTCACAATATTACAGATCACCCGGGCAGANAAAGGAAGGTCTATGTTCTCCGAGGTTTCACTTTAAACACAATAACATGGTATTTTCCCCCAATAAAACCGGCTGGGATAATTAACCACCGAAACCTCTGAAAGATAACTACATATACTATGGTGGCGGAGAAGTGGTATCCAGGGTATACAAACTAGAGGGTGACGCTCCTCCATTGGAAGCACACGAAATGACCTCAAAACCTCAAAGCTGGTGTGGAATTTCTTCAGATGTCCTCGCCAAGTAAGGTGCTGCATAAGGATTCATACATAAGCCCAGGACTTCTCATTCACAATATTACAGATCACCCGGGCAGCGGTGATTTCTAAGCTGAATAAACATCATAAATGAGAACAGAGAAGCTTCGTAGTCTAAGTTAGTATAGTTTTGTATATGTATAATGAAGGGGTAGAGAATTATGTAACCGGTAACTCTTTTCCGGGCTGCCAAGAAGTGTCAATATTATACCAAAATTGTGTTTATCCATATTTTACGTTTCACAAAATAACACCATTTCTTAATGTCCTTAAAACTTCGGCTGGGTTTACACCGATAACCTTTGAGAATTTGAGTAATTGCTTATATATAATTACATTTTGATTAAAAAAAATTAGGAGGTTAGCAATTCGTTAAAATGTTTTTTTGTCNTTGTGTTTATCCATATTTTACGTTTCACAAAATAACACCATTTCTTAATGCCCTTAAAACTTCGGCTGGGTTTACACCGATAACCTTTGAGAATTTGAGTAATTGCTTGTATATAATTACATTTTGATAAAAAAAAATTAGGAGGTTAGCAATTCGTTACAATGTTTTTTTGTTATGTTTGTTACCGGTATTTTGGACCATATTAACTGTTTTCGATAACACTATTTTATCGAAAATGTTTTACCTCAAGACTAATTTGGTTTAGCTCCGATCTTTGGATCATGAGGAAATTAACGGTAATTTTAAACTTTACTAATGAGAATGGAAGTTGGTTGTTTCTTTTGCTTAAAAGTACTTGTTTTTTACTTTTTTCTTTGGTACTTTCAAGGATTTTTGTTGCTCTCAAAATAAATCCTTCGGCACCACTAAAAATTTTACCAATAACTTGCATTTGCTTATTGCTCTCTTTCGCATAACAAGCGGATGAGTTAATATTCTATNTTTTTCTTTGGTACTTTCAAGGATTTTTGTTGCTCTCAAAATAAATCCTTTGGCACCACTAAAAATTTTACCAATAACTTGCATTTACTTATTGCTCTCTTTCGCATAACAAGCGGATGAGTTAATATTCTATAAAAAAAAAATACGAGTGAAGCCAATTCGAGTCTCACGAATACGAGTAGTTAGTACGAATGTATGTATTTTCGAGTTAATTTGATTTTGATTTTGATTGATTGAAATCGATAACGGTTTGTTTGATTTGTTAATAGCGTTAGAATGTTTCTCTATATTTTTTTTTCAATTCAATTTGTGATTGATAGTGTTCATTATTAAAAATAGTTTACCTGACTTAATGCTGATGGCATAGACTTCATCGTATGAATATTTACCGGCAATGGTGGAATGCCGCCAGCGATTCCACTTGTTCCGCTTAGCAGTTTCTCAACGGACGTGGGACCAGCGCCATAGGCGGACGCCGCCGCGTTCATCGATTGTATGGCATGACTGCTAAAACTCGACGAGATGCCGCCAATGGAGTTGGGCACCAGCGCTGATATGGATGAGAGGCCCATGCCACCACCGCCACCTGGACCACCGCCGCCACTACCACCACCACTGCCGACACTGCTGCCACCACCTCCACCAACACCGCTACTACCACCTGCCAGAGCGGCTGACATGGCGCCAGCGCCATTCGGCAATGTGGAGGTAAGCGATGAAGGTAAACCACCAGCACCGGTGGTGGCTGCGGTACCATAGCTGCTGGTGAGCGCCGAACTACCGACGGCGGTGCCGCTTGTGCCACCCAACACTGCTCGCTTATATCGATTCAGTTCTTCTTCTAGTTCTGCAAGAATGTAAGAGTCAACTTTAAGTTGTTTATTTGCTTTTAGTCTATAGGGGAATAGTACGGTAAATCATTTTACTTTACCATTTTTTGATATGGTTTTAAATTCGCTATTTGCGGTATTCAATATGGAACTTGTTGGCATCGATGACATGGCTGATGTACGTGGCTGCTCCAACTCGGCCAACACACGATTATCCTGCAACAAAAGACGAACAAGAATTTAATTTTACGGTTTAAAACCGAGATTACATATGCGTAAATAAGTTTTATTTTTATAATTTTTTTTTTTACCCGAAAGGTCATAAAGAAAAATTGTGGTACAAAGAGCTCCGGCATGGATGCCAATTTGACACTACCTGGTCGAGCCTCTTGTCAGAATCATGAGTTATTGCTGAAGAAGCCTTATCGGCCGACCATGTTCGACTACCCCCAGAAAGATTTTGTAACTTTGCATATCGCGGTTTTTTTTCAAAAGCTGGTTGAGCGGAATAAAAATCAGTAGTCTTCCACAGCTCCAGTACCTCACGCGCTCCCTGCTCAGCCAATTCATCAGTCTTTTAGTTTCCTGCAATGCCAATATGCTCTGGAACCCAAATTTTTCTTATTTGGAAGTAACCCTAGGTGACCGACATTGCCCGACCACTCTCGATCGCACCATACTTCTTAAGCTCTTATGATCGATTAGCAGTCAGATTAGATACATAGATGTCATTCTAATCGGTTCTACACTGATACGCAGCCAGTCGACTGCTCTCTTTAAGCAGCCACCTCTGTCTGCTGGAAATACGCTGCAGAAATCTGGAAGGCCAAACTTGAGATTAGCGGAGAGATCCTGGCAGAATAAACCTCCTCTAATTCTGCCACTGGATCTTTGTACCAGGGGCTGCTACTCTTCCATTTACAACAATAAATCTAATTGGAGCCAACTTCGACACGCACCGACTCGTTCCTTTATGTATGAAACCAAGGATTCCAAATGTAAATAAAATTATGAAATTTGGAACTAATCTCCGTTTCAATGCATCAACTTTTCATCTTGACGTAAAAATCTACCAACAATAACTAGCAAAAATTACTCGAAAAATTACCCTGAGATTTTTCGAGCAGAAATTTACCAGAAATATTAGCTTTTTATTTCTTAGAAATTGACAAATAAAATAACTTATGTTTTTTTTATTTTTCCAGATTATCCGGTATTTTTAACTGACTTCAAAAAAAGCAGGGGGTTATCAGTTCGTCGGAATATTTTTTTTCTGTTGTTATGTATGTTACCGCATAACTTTGGACAACGTCAACCGATTTCGATAATACTAATCCTATTAAAGGAAGATATTCACTGTGGTACTTTTTGGCCTTGACAAAGGAAAAGGACGACTTCCTAACGATTGGTAGCACTTAGTGGGAAATTTCGTTTTCACAGCCGATCAACCCCTTTTCCAGGGATCTCTATAGCAACCTTAAATTTAGGCTTTCAGATCAGTGTAGTCTTTTTTAGGCGTAGGTTGTTGCTATAATGAAATAATCAATTCCCTGCTGTTACGCGCGATGGTGGTTAACATCTATCTACTCAGATAGTCAGTAAGGTACGCTCGAATGCCTTAATTGACTTTCGATAGCGTCCGTATATTTCTTTGCCAGACTTTTTTTGATGACAGGCCATAAGAAAATCGCAGGAAACTGTGCGGCTTATGAACAGGCTAAAGGCGGCACTAGGGATCTCCTCAAGCTCGCAAAGCTGGATCTCTCGATTCTTGTGGGAGCTCTCCTGGTCTAACATTTTCCACCTGCGAAACTTCGTTTTCTACCGTTGGAAGTGGTATCACAAAGAACCAACGTCCGCGATCTAAGTGAGCCCCTTAACCATGGGCAGCCACCTGAACCTAACATGCACTGGATCGAAATCCCATAGGCAAGGCAAGTGATAAGGCAATATGATCAGACAAAGATATATTTTAAAAATAATATGAGCAGGATGTATTTGATTTTTAAGAGGCTTCAATTAGCGGCCCAGGTGCGATCTAGGCGCTCAGTTTTTATTTATTAAAGTGTATGGTCTTTCAATTCGATGCTGTAAATATTTGCTCACCTGTTCGATTTTCGCCATAATGATATCGATTTCAGAGCCTTGGTCGTGATGACTGATTGTCGGTGCCCAAGTGACAGTGGAACTAGTGCCCGATGTGGCGGCAGCTGAAGAAGCGCTCGCGCTTGAAGCTGCAATGCCGCCATAGTTGCTACGATCGCTGCCACCAGAACGCGCAGCCTTCGCCTTCAACGCGGAAGTCAATTCAATTTGCAATTCCTCGCAGCGTACATTTTCTAAGGCGACCTAAACATTTGGCATGGAAAAGTAAATACGATTAGCTTATCTTAAAAACAAAACAGAAAAACACAAAATGAAATATCCTTAAAATCCATGTGCAGCAAATAGTTTTAAGAAATAATTCCATCTAAACTGCGGTGGTTGACACCTGTGCCACAACAAAAGTTTTTAATTAAATACACCTTCCACTCACTTTTTTCTCGAGCTCACGCGCGCGCGACTGCAAATTCTCGACAGCTTCCGTGTCCGGGCGACTGCTGCTCGATAAATTGCGTATTTGTGCCAATGTTTCCTGTGCACCGAAAACCGAGGATAAAAAGTTTATTAAAGACATACATTTAATCAAATATGTAATTTATTTATTCTTGTGGTGCTCGACGATATCGTTGTTATTGTTGTTGTTGTTGGTTATAGTGCAATATTACCTGGTGTGCGCGCTCAATTTCGGTGCGCCGCATCTCCGCATCCCGCAGCTGCATGCTCAACGAATCCAGCATGCCGTTGGGCGCTGATGACTGGTGGTGGTGGTGGTGCATGGATTCGTATGGCATTTTGGCGACTACAAGAAATAAAGGAAACAAGAAACTTGCATGAGTACCGTAAAGTAAAAAAAAAAATTGATTTATGTATATATATTAGTCTTCATTTTAAAACGTCTGTGATTCTGTAGTAGCTCTCATGTGAAATGAGGTTTACGTTGATAATAAAAATCTCTCATAAAAATATAGGAATAGTAGGGTAAGGTTAAAATGTATTGAATTCCTAATATTAACAGCCGCACTCACAGCCGCACTCAGAGTCGTTTAATGATTACTTAAGGTGTCCCTCAGTAACGATTTGAAAGAAATCACTCTCAGAGTCAGTTAATGATTCGTTAACGGCATTTAATGAACATTAAAGTTAAGTAAAGAAAAACCATTACTTAACTCTTTAACGAATGATTTTGAAATTTTTTGTTTGTTTCCAATAAATTTCAATTTCGATAACGTTGCTGTAACAGTGGCAATGGCCCACTGAGCAGAGCACTTTCAGGAGATCCGAGTTCAATCCTCGGCAAGGAATTCTTACATTAATACATTTTTTTTTTTAAGTTTTATTGCCTAAAAAATTCATATTTTTTATTTTATTTAACGTTTGGAAATTTTTTTGATTCATCTTTTTTCTTTTACTTTCAGTTTCTCAAATTTTTAGTTTTTCCTGTTTTTAAAAGATATTTTTTTTCATTTCGTTTAGTTTTTAGAAAACTTACTTATAATAATAAGCTTATACATATGTTAGTGTTTGGCCGAACTTCTCCTCCGATTTGTGGCGTGCGCCTTGATGTTGTCACACAAAGCGGAGGGACCTACAGTTTTACGCCGACTCCGAACGGCGATTGTATTTTTATGAGAAGCTGTTTTTCATAGCAGAATTACACTCGGAGGTTTGCCATTGCCTGCCGCGGGACGACCGCTGTTAAGAAAAAACCTTTCTTCTATATTTTTTTGCGATGTTGCTTTTGACCAGGGTTTGAACCCAGGCGTTGCGGAGTGGAAGCGCGCCCTGCTTACCACTACACCACAGCGGCCGAGAAAACTTACTGCTAAACGATAAATATATAACACTCAATTACTCATTCGAAATCCAGAGAAGAGCTTTCAAGATAGTTGCCGAAATATAAAAACTTTTGTCTCTCGAAAGACTGAGGTGAGTTGAAAGACAGATGCCAGAATTGGCCTGTTATTGATTGGTCTTGTTTGTCTTTTAGGAAACAACTTAATTAAATTTAAAAAAATTTGTTTANGCCCTGCTTACCACTACACCACAGCGGCCGAGAAAACTTACTGCTAAACGATAAATATAATAACACTCAATTACTCATTCGAAATGCACGCCAGTGCTCTGCCCACTCAGCCATTGCGTCTGTTGAGCCAGTGCGCGCGAAATGATATAAATGNTTTTAAAGCAATAAAATCTATAAATCAAAAGAAAATTAGATCAAAAAAGCGAAAAAAATCAATAAAGATAGTGTATAAAAATTAAACAAGAAAAAAAAGGAAAAACGAAAATTTTCCTGCCCGAGGACTCGAGCTCGAATCTCTCAAATGNTTGAGCCAGTGCGCGCGAAATGATATAAATGCTTATTTTTATATTTTATTTCAAACTGAACGAAAAAAGTGAGTGATGCCACAAAAATGAAGGGTCGCAACTGGGGCCATACTTAAATTTTTTATTTCATAATTTTTAACTCTGAGAGGAAACATTAATTAACAGATTTAACGATCATTAGTTAAGTGCCCATTAGACCTAATTTAACGAACGTTTCTGAGTGCGGCTGTAAATATGTTGGGGATAATAAAGTGATAATTACGAAATGTCTTTTCTTGTAGCGTCACCGATATCATTTCGTATCCGTCAACCTTGTCATTATATTGGTGTGAATCACTGTTCCTAAATCTCTCGAATCCCCAACCTGAGCACATGATGCAATAACTGTTTGAAGGTAGTTTTACTTCTCCTTCTTAGCCACTGTGTAAACTATCTGACATAAATCGTTTTTCGTTTTTTTGTGGTACCAATTAATTAAAAAATAATTTGAAAAATAAAGCAAGCCGAAGCCAAACTTATGAGTAGAAACAAAAAATCAAATGATTTTCATCATAAATAAAATTTAAAGGAAAAACTAGCTGCAATTCCTCTAGTTTTGAAGTCAAACTACCTTCTAAAAATTATTCTTATCATTTTTGAACTTAAGAGTGCTTTCATATGACTTGGCGATAAATTTTTAGCACAGTTTTTTGTTAAGCCATGGTAATTTTTGTTTAGCAAGTTTAAGCAGTAAGTTTTTAAAATACATGTTGCTCCTTTGCTGGAAAAGTGTCAAAATTCAAAATATAAAAAATTTCGAAAACCCCGTTTAATAATACAAGTCAAGTCGGGTACGCCAGCCGACGAACTTTGTCTCGCCCAAAACTTATTTTTTGTAGGAACATTTTGGTACCAAACTTAAACCAATCATTCACTTAAAGACTTCCAGTGGCACATTTATCTGCTCTAAATATGGTTTTGTGGTCGTCAGAAGGCATATTTTCCATTGCTATTTTAAATAACCTAACGAAATCGTTGTGTCCGTGACGAAATTCACAGTTCATCGCACAACGCCAATCAATTTCGATATTAGAGTTGCCAACGAAATAAATTTGAAAAAAATTCATCATGCACTGTCTGAAACAATGATCTGTTTCGATGGTGAATCTGTATAGATAGTTGGTGGCAAATTCGTAATAAGTTAATATCGTTGGTATTTAAATCCAGTATTCATAGGCTTATTTGAGATTAAATCCTTTAACTGCCCAATTAATGCATTTGTGGGCATTCATCAACAATCGTCCTTATTATGGTAAATCGCCATAAATCAATGAGCTCAGGGGTTCTGATGGTTGAATTAACTGTAATAACTTGACTTTAACCCCTGCTGATCTCAATCCCGTTGTCTACGAATGACAGTTTTACGCATTGTGAAATTAGCGATGTGATTTGCTGGACCAATCGTAACACGCAGAAGCTCGATATACTCAATCGGGATTCCGCTTTTGTTTCAGTTGTTAATGAGCTGGTTCCCCCATGAATTCGCTATGGGTGCACTCAAAACAGAACACTGAAAGTACAATGTCGAAGAATTCATACTTTCTTCGAAGCAATCGAACTATATTCGCAAACGTATATTCTCAGTCAACCTTATTTATCCTGAGTTTCGCCTGAAATTTTTTCATCCGCCCGTAGTGAATACACGGAAACGAAAAGTTATAAGTGCAGCATTTCAAGGAAAATTAAACTCATAATAAGGCTGATTTTGTATTTTTAATCAAAATTCCATAATGCATTGTTCAAATCCAGAAATTGTAAATGGAACCGGTAATAATTTACAACGCACTCCAACCTAAATAATTGTTTAGCATAGATACAATTTTGTACATGGACAACCATTTCAATGGTAATATTATGATCAAAATTAAATAAAGAAATAAAAAAAAGAATCGTGTACAAAATCAGCAGAGACAAACGCACCAAAAAAGATAGCTCACATAGGACAATCCATTCTAGAACTATACTCGTTATTACGTGAGCAACTTTGTTTTATACATACACGGTCAAAAATTTGGGTTTAATTTAACCGCGCTGCGACTAATGCCTTTTTTAATCTTTTATAGTCTACTTTTTAAACCAGTCAATAGTTTTAAGTAATTTTAAATATATACTGGTTTAAATTTTAGTCCAGGCAGCCGAGAAAAGGATGTTTTGAGTATTTTAAAAAGTAGTTGAGTGAGTAGTTTAAAATTANAATAAAGAAATAAAAAAAAGAATCGTGTACAAAATCAGCAGAGACAAACGCACCAAAAAAGATAGCTCACATAGGACAATCCATTCTAGAACTATACTCGTTATTACGTGAGCAACTTTGTTTTATACATACACGGTCAAAAATTTGGGTTTAATTTAACCGCGCTGCGACTAATGCCTTTTTTAATCTTTTATAGTCTACTTTTTAAACCAGTCAATAGTTTTAAGTAATTTTAAATATATACTGGTTTAAATTTTAGTCCAGGCAGCCGAGAAAAGGATGTTTTGAGTATTTTAAAAAGTAGTTGAGTGAGTAGTTTAAAATTAAAACCAAAATGTTTTAATTCAAGTTTCTAGGTTTCATATATAGAAAATTTGGTTTAAAATCTAAACCGAAATAAAAATGTACATACAGAGAATTAAATTTTTAAATATTTCGCAACCCTTTTCAAAATTATTAATTCTGGTTAAGAGTAGAGAGAATACGTTGCAATATTTTAATCGATACATATATATAAGTCACTAAGATTTTTAGCGAAATTCGTTACGCGGTTAAAAATTTCGGTTTTAATTTTAAACTTTTTGGACTACATATATGACCAAACTAAATTTAGTTTCAAATACAAACCTTCCAACAGTTGAACAGTTCGGTTTGAATTTTAAACCCATATATGTAATACTTCTATATTGGCAGTAAGCTAACTTCTCAATGTGTAAGCATTCCGAAATCAAAGCGATACAGTCTAGTACCGTTTTTGTCAATGTATTGTGTACTTGAGTGCCGTTTTTGTAGATGTGTTGTGTACATGTTTATTTATAAACGTACATATGTGTTCCTTTTCTTTCGTACGTGTTTATTGATATATCTGTACTGTAGTGTTTTCGGACGGTACTAGCTCTTACTGCCAATATAGGAGTATTACATATATGTTTAAACCCAAACATTTTCTATTTCGTATGCTTCACCTTACACTTCATGAAAGCTTTTTCATAATTAAGAATAAAAAAATTCAGGCTCCGTCTGATGGAGATTGAACCCGGACAGGCTTGGTAGCAACCAAATGTATTAAGCATCTTTGCACACTCAGCTACAGCCATGCATGTAAATGTGCTTTCATATGTTGAGTTTAAATCAACCCCACATTTCGCTGTGTTGATGCCGTCAGTTCTCTCTCTTTCGGAAAGAAATTTTTTGATTTTAGTTTTAAACCACTCATAGCAAAACATCATTTT